GCTGACTCGGGTTTACGTACCGGTACGTTTACGTTCTTGACTAATTTCAACTTAAATTTTACATCACACGTGGTTCTTGTTTGACAATCCTAGAGAGGAATTTTGGAGGAGCATAGGCATTTGTGGTTATAAACAAAAAAGAGAAACTAAATTGCAATTCTTCATTATTCTTTGTAATTGTTTCTGATTTTAAACGAAGAACCCATTCACTTATGGCAGAGTTATATACATATATATATATATTACGTAAATGCATATGCCCAAGTAACTAGTCTACCAGCCCATGCCGACAAATAGCTCCCGCGAAAATACTCAATAGTAAGTGAATACAAATCTGCACACTTATAAAGTTTCACTAATTTTTCTTTAAATTTTAATATTACTCACTATTTACAGCGTTTTTGAATAAAATAATACTAGTAAAAATTTTCCGCGATTTTCTTTTTCACAACAAAATTGACACAAACAGCTGTTTTGATTCTTTAACGAAAATAGATAATGGAAAATTGCAAAGAAAAACAAATGTACTAAGCGCACTGACAAACTCGTATTGATTAAATTGAATCTAGTTTTAAACTCAATAAGTGGACACTTGAAAATCTGTGATTTAAATAGATTTTGTGCTGAAAAAGTATGAAACGATTACACGAGACAGAAGCCCCAACGGAGATACCAACGACGTCGACTGACGCTTATAAGGAGAAGCGCCCGAACAAATATGATTGTGGTATATCGAAAGATGCTGATAGTGAAGATGATAGCAGCAGTAGCGATTGTGGTAGCGATAATGTTGTATTGACCAGCAGGTACCATGCGGCTATTTTTAAGACAAAGAAAGACAAAATGAATTTGAATTTTGATAAGAAAAAGCGATTTGGAGCGTAAAGAGTTATGCATATGTGTGTATTCATGTTATCAATTAATACAACCATATGAATCTCTTAAATGAATTGTTCTTTTCAAAAGTTTATCCATTCTCCTCTTTTACAACCAGCTCTAATCACTTCCCAACTCGCCTTGGCAAATGCGAAGTCTGCGCTGGTGCGAACGCGCGCTATAGCTGCCCCAAATGCGAAGTGAAGACCTGTTCCCTGCGTTGCGTGCAAATCCACAAAAAGGAGCTGGACTGCGATGGCATACGCGATCGTACTAAATTCATACCCTTGCGAAAGATGACTAAAATGGACTTCATGAGCGATTACTACTTTCTGGAGGAGTCTACACGCTATGTGAATGATCGCAAGAATGATACAATTAAGCGTTTTACACGCTACAATAAAACATTGCCAACACATTTGTTTCGTTTACGTGGTGCAGCCGCTGAACGACGCACTGTTCTGCGGTTTTTATTGCCAAATTTCACGCGTCACAAAAATAATACAACTTTCTATGATTGGAACTTACGTAAAATCTACTGGCGCATAGAATGGATATTTATCAACGCAGGTGCGCTACAGTATGTTGATGAGCGTTGTGATGAGGATTTTAAGTTGGCACAGTTGCTGGATAAATATATAAACATACAGAATGCGGAGTCAGTGCCGCAGAAGAAGGCATTGGAATACTATCAAAGTACAGGATTAAATGGATTAAAGGTATGGAAGATAAAGCGTGCATTTTTTAAGAAAATTAACTTTCACTGTTAATTTTGTAGCTGCTCCTAAAAGCTGAGGGTATTA